TGGAATACATATATAAGAATCATAATTAATTGCTAGAACATTTTTGTCCCAAGATAACTTTATTGTACGTTTGTCTATAGTTAAGTTTCGTTATCGTAGAGCGTGTTGAGATAAATGTATATTGTTAATTGCGGCATCATATGCCGTATTATCTATGTAATGTATCTCTCTCATGTCGCATTCTTTTTATAAGATCACACTATAAGAAAAATGTTAAATAATGTTTCGACAACATAATTTCTTTGACAAATGTGCTTAAATCAATTAATTTTCTAGCTTGAAAGAAAGATTTGTTAAAATATTCATTACTTATCACGCAACAATCTTATATATAGAAAATAATATTAAAATGTTTTTAAAATTATTTCAGACATAAGCAAAAAGGATCTGGAAACAATCAATTCCGATTTCAAGAAAGCTATATTGCCCAGATGTTTAGCTACATTATCAAAAATATCAATCACAATCGAAGAATTGAAATCTTTATATTTTGGTGATAAAGCAGTATCAGAAGAAACTGTAATGAATTACGTTGATTTTATCAGCGACGAATTCTTCTGTCGTGGCATAATGGAAGTGGTGGATATTCAGACAAAATTGAATAATAATGATAACAAAACAACGTATCTGTATCAATTTTCATACGAGAGTGAAAATAATCCCTTTAGAAAAATATTTAAAGTTCAGACTCCAGGTATTATCATTAATTTATTTAAAACTATTTAACAACTTGTAATTGCTTCAAAACTATCTAACAACTTTTAATTTTAGAGAGTATGTATATCATTTTATGTTGTAATTACACATATCGCAATTACAACATAAAATAACTCCAAATATTTCTAAATTTCTTAGTTTTTAAATCTATAGGTATGATTTTAAAGAAACAAAAATGGTTTTATTTTATATAATTTAATTTAAAAAGTAATCTGTCTTTTAAAGCATTTAGAAGATTAATTTACAGATTTTAATTAACGGTTAAATGATAATATTTTCTAGGTGTGACTCATACCGAGGAATTGGCGTACTTATTTTATCCTTATATGATGAAAGATTTGGGCTTGTCACCATCTGCAGTTGATTCGGAAGACTATAAGATGATAAATTGTTTAACGCAAATGTGGACAGATTTTGCTAAAACAGGGTACGAGAATATCTTTTTTTTTCGAATTTTAAACTTTTTTTTTTTAATTTTCGCGACATTGTAATTTTATTACGTATCGCGTATTAATGATTAACTCTCAATCTGATTTAGGGATCCAACGCCTGCTACAAATTTGTGGTTGTCAGTGACCGATTCACAAAGCGGAAAATACAATTATCTGAATATCGATACAAACTCGCAAATAAAGGTCTTCCGTAAAGGAGAAGAAAGATGGGATTGGGAAAAGAAGAAAAATAAGTTACGGCGCTAAAATTTTATCTACATTAAAATTAGGTTTCTCCGGATACCTTTTGCGTTTATAAATATTCTCTCGTTATTTTTCAAAAATATTTTATATAACGGAAAGTGGAAGCACTATTGTTACTCCCCTACGATTGTATAAGTTCAGGATCGGTTTTAGTTAGTGGAAATAAGGAGATTATAATGTTTTTTGAACTATCACTTATTAAAATCAAGAAATTTTTCACGATTATTAAACTTAAAAAGTATTAGTAAATCATGAAATCAAGTAATTTTAACTAAATACTGAGGATTTTGCAAGATAAAATTAACTATAAAATCGTAACAGAAATTAAATTTAAAAGAAAAATAAATTTTTTGTTATATTTAGTATTGCATTAAATTTTTCGTGTTTTTGTATCATTAATATGGCATATATATCACTTCCATATATTCTCTTATATTTATTTTGTATACCTCGCACAAATCGCAGCTTATTCAGTTTTTTTTTGTATTTCATAATATACCTATGCATATTCAACTCTTTTAACTTTAAAATCAATTTTGATTGATCGTTACAGAGAATTGTCTTTCTCGTTGAATTAAACTCTAAGAACTTCACGTCAAGGTTTTTTTCTAGAAAATACCTGTCATTTCTTTTCCCATATAAGTTAATATTTTCTTTATAGAAAAATTAACTCTAAATTTGACTGAAACATTGTTTCACCATCCTTATCATCATTGTCGTATAATATGTCTGAGAGGTAAATAAAAAGTATAAGAAATAAGCAAGTTCAGAGCATTATCTAACAATGGGGCAACTAACTTTCGTAGTACAATTCTAAGATGATACATCACTGCTTTTAACACGTTGTCGGGTTTCGCGTGTGAAACACAAGGCGCATGCATTTCTCGTTCGAGGCTGTCGCTCCTGGTCGTTCCTTCGCCTTTGTACAGTTCTTTGGTAAGTTCGAGTACATCGCTGATCGATCGTTTCGTGAATCCTCCGGTCGAAGTGAACAGATCGAAAGAAACGCGAACCACGATATCACAGTGCAAATTTCGCGGAAGAGACCATTATAAAACATTATACAATCTACCAGAATTCGATGAAATCTAATTTAAATCTAGCCGGTTGGATGTGCGTGAGATTGTAGAGACAGTTAATTAGTGCGTTAACGTACAGCAGTTAATTGTACACGGATACATATCAAGTTATGTGTCGCATTCGGCTAAAGACAGAGCCGATCTGTCGCGCAGCTGATGAAAAAACGGTCTTCCGTTTTTGTGGGTGGACTTGGTCGACTTGGTCTCAGTTGTGCATCGCACGCTCGTATATCGCGCATCGTGCATTTCGAGACTGGTAATATTCTAAATTTGCAGAGACCACGTAACGTGCATTCTCCACGCGAAATTTTCCGTTACCAAGATGTTTACCGCGAGCGTCGATCCCGCATCGATTTGATTTTCCGCTAATCGAATGACAACATACAGTACCGGTCAAAAGTATTGCATCGCTTATGGAAATGGAAGTCGTTACTTTAATAAAGAAAGGTCTACATAAATAATATAAAATTTTATTTTAGTATATTTTATACTGTTATTTTATGCTTTGATAAAGTACTTTGAGAAAACAAACAAATGATTTTAATGATTTAATTGCGTTGTTTTATATATTATCGTCAACGATAATTATTCAATTAATTCATTAAGAGCTTTGTTTTTTTTTCTCAAAGTATTCTTATCAAGGCATAAAATAACAGTACTAAAATAAAATTTTATAAAAATTTATGCACGCCTTTCTTTTAAGTAACGACTTTTCTTTCCATAAGTGATGCAATACTTTTAACCGGTACTGTACGAATATATGATCTTTGTTTAGGTTTACTTGAGCGAAGGTGACAATTCCGGATAACGAAAGAGGATAAACCAGAGATTCGCACACGCTATTTATGGAATATATTATGCATATATAGAATATTTTTACAATGGACTGCGAGGTACCTCGCGACTTGGAGATGTCTTATCTGCGGGCAATTCAAAAGATACCGGGCGATACCGCTGGTGAGAAGTGGCGTTGGATCGGAAGATTGATTTTGCATCAGGATAGCGAGGATCTTGGACAACTTCTGCCAGAATTGCTGCCTATACTGCGCGTGGAAATTGCCGTCAAGAAGAAGAGGCACGAGGAAATAACGTCGGCTCTCAAGCACGAGGACTTGACGATAATAAACCGGGTTTTTAAGGCCTTCTGGTTTTTCGATGGCAGCCACAAGGAGATCATCGACGTCGCGTACTTCTGTGAACGTCTCTTTCCTTACGTTTCCATAAATACGAGAACGCGCGTATCCAAGCAACACCTGATAGAAAAGCCATTTATATACATCCGCATCTTACCACCCCAAAAAATCAATCAGTATTTGATGGAAAGCATATTTCCGAGTTTGTTGCCTGATGACATGTACCGTGTGACTTCTCGACAAATACTATGCTCGATTACTTGAAATATTATCCACATGATAAGAAATACGAGCTGCTACGTACATCGTATGAGACTAAATACAATGCTAATTTTCTCGAGACGGAGAATGTGACGCCAGATTTATTACGATTCTTACCTGCCGAGGAACGGATCAAACAAGCTAGAATTAAAATCGGGAAGATGGTTTGTGCGATTCCGGGGGATTACGAGACAGCTTGGATTTGTTATTTATCTGCTAACGAAGCGATACAAGTTATCAAAGAAACAATAAATAAAACTGCAGATGAAAACCATAGGCTTGATTTAATTATGCAAATGATGTACGCTTGTAAGATTAATAAGGATGACGATGCGTTATCCGATACCTTAACATACGTCTTAAATAGACATAAAAATGAAAACTATCATGTACTTAAAACCATTTTAAGTCATCTTTTTGTAAAATATGATATACCTCATTTAAACAGAAAGCAGGGCTCTCTTGTATTGGAAATTGTTAAATTGTTTTATATAAAAAATGATTCCATATCGACAAAGATACTCAAGGCTCTAGTACTTTTTAAATGTTTACATAATATGCCAATTGAGGATCTGCTCGATATAACGCTAGAACGTTATAAAGACTGGACAAAGTTCAACGTGCTCACAGAATATCCACAATATGAGAAACAATACCTTATAACTTTCGCAAATCTCATTCAAAAAAAGTATTTGTAAGATTTCCTACCAAAACAAAAGATGTTTTGCCAATTTGTCGTAGCAATGTACGATTTCAACGATAGATGTAAACGTTCGCGCATCGAGATAGAAAAAATGACAATTAGAGATTATCCTTGGCTAATAGACGTTATTCGAGCTATTCCCCTGCTTAATTACACTGATGACTTTTGGGATGCGATACGCGTATTAAAGTTGAATGAACCAGAACTATTTGGCAGTTGGTCAATTCGTGAACCATGTTCACGAAATGACCAACCACGTTCACGAAATTCATTTGATATCGCGAAAGTAAAATCAGGCGCGGCGTAAAATCTTGCTCTATTAAAACGAGACTTACGAAAGATACAGTTTGATTGGTTCAATTACTTATCAGCTTGCGAGGCGGCCTGTTATCACAAACAGGTGCAACGCTTCATCAGGGCCATACGTTGGTATAAAGACCTACCTATTAAATTTGCTAAATGTTGCATGGAT